CTGTCATGAACCAGTTTGTGGGTAGCAACATGGAGGTTTGTTGAGTAGTTTGTCCATTCCGAGTCTCCTTTCTCTACATCTCTTTGTTCTAACATTCTTTTAATCCTTTTTTTAACTTAATGTTGAAAATATTTTTTTCAGGTCAGTGTAGTTGGTGATTTCACAGAAGAAGAGGTAGAATCTTGTGTTCTTGATTATCTTGGGACTGTAAGCGCTGCAAAATCTTCAAACAAAGAGGAACATATTGAGAAGATTTCCTTCCTGCCATCCCCATCGGATCTGCATTTCCAGCAAGTATGAACTGTCATGCAGCCTTCATAACCATCTTTTTAATATGTTGAAGCATTCATGAAAAAAAGATGGATATTTTGGCACTTCATTAAAATCATGTGTTTTAAGCCTCAGGGCGTGTTTGGTTCTAGCCCAAGCTTGCCCTGCCAATTTTTTTGCTAGCCTAAGTTCTGGTTGAGCTTTTGGTTGCCATGAGCTGGCTAAGATTGGCAAGAAAAATGAATTTAATAGGCAAAGAGCAATTAACATGCCAAAAAACAGTAGCCATCCTAACAAAAGACCAAATCTAAACATATTCATTTAACCGTGAATTCTTTCCCAGGTATACATAAAGGATACAGATGAGAGAGCTTGTGCATACATTGCAGGCCCGGCACCTAACCGATGGGGGTTTGCTACTGAAGGAAAAGATCTCTTCAATGACATTCGAAGTTCCAGCGCAGATGGTAACTACAATTCAATATGTGTGCTATTCTCTGACATGAGCCACACGACTGACTCCAACTCAAGTGCCATATCTTGAATTAGACCTAATTTTTGTTTTTGTTTGAGGATTTTCCCACTACTCATCTGTTAATGACCTTGTGGGTATAAACATGTGCGCTGATATTTGTCGTACCATCTTAGCAGAAATCTCTGCACCGGCTAACTCGGGGAAGACACATATTAACGTTCGCAACCATCCTCTTTTCTTTGGCATCGCTTTGAGTTTGCTGGCTGAAATTATAAATTCCAGGTAAAGCATTTCAGTGCATTTTTTTTGTTACATCATTGTAAAGCTCTTCCATACACAGTACACGCATAATTCTTTTTTGTTAAATCGTTATGAAGCTCTCCCATACACAGTACATGCTAATATGCTACAAAGTGCATGGTGTGCTTACTTTCGTGTCCCACCCTTGGATAACTGGGTCATGAGTTGTTGCTTATGCAAAAATCGTGATGATGCCCTATGTATTCTATTAAGCGACATTCATGGTTTCATGTCTTATTGATGTCCCTGCGAGATGCTTGGTTGCGTGTCATGATTCACTTTGATGTTCTGTTGGTTTTTACCTGATAAGACTAACATGATGGGCTGCACCTTTTTTCTCTCAGGCTATTTACAACAGTGCGAGATTCAATGGGATTAACCTACGATGTTTCTTTTGAATTAAATCTTTTTGACAAACTGGATCTTGGTTGGTATGTGATTGCGGTAACTTCAACTCCGAGCAAGGTAAAAGCTGTGATCTTGAGCTTGTCTTACTTTGTTCTTCCGCTGCTAATATCTGCATTTTGCGATCTTGATGCCAGGTCCACAAGGCTGTTGATGCGTGCAAAGGTGTTCTCAGAGGTTTACATCACAACAAAATTGTTGAAAGGGAGCTGGATCGGGTTAGTCAAAATTCCGTACCACCTCCGAGCCATAATATGTGTCGCAGTTTTGAACTAACCACAGTTCAAAACTGCAACACTTATTTTGGATCGGAGGAAGTACTATTTTTCATCTGTGACAATTCTTGCTAATCAGGGCCATGTTGCTTAAATGGTAGTCTAACAGAAGTGCACATTTTTATGATTGCATATGTTGTTCAATTTTTCTGTACTCAAGTTGAATCCACATCTTAAAGAAATGCATATGTATTGTATTACTAAGCTCAGAGCTTTAAACGTAACTATGAGAACATACTTCTTTGCTTGTTAATTTGGTTAGCATTTTTTTGCATGTTTCAGGCAAAGAGGACACTGCTGATGAAACATGAGGCAGAGACAAAAACAAATGCCTATTGGCTTGGTTTGCTAGCCCATCTGCAGTCTGCATCCGTGCCGAGAAAGGTATTCTGTATGTGAGGTTTATAAGTGCATATTCTATAGGAAACTAGAACAGAAATAGACCGACTCTCCAAGCCCTGGTTTCACGGAGACTCCGGCTGCATCATCCTTGTGCCACTTTACTGTATCTTTTTTGTGTTAGATATTATCATTTGTTGGATCCCAGTCCATATCTTATCCTTCATTAGTTTTTTGTGCTATTAGTTTCCATACTAGTTTCATTTCCTCTTCTCTTGTTGTATCACTGTCTTACTGTAGTTCATCTCTTCCAATTAAATGCAGGATATATCCTGTATTAAGGAATTGACAACATTGTATGAAAGTGCCACAATTGAGGACTTGTATCTTGCATATGAGCACTTGAAAGTTGACGATTCATCTTTATTTGCCTGCATCGGGATTGCTGGTGCTGAATCTGGTGAAGAAGTGAACGGTACGTAATAAAAACATTGATGATAAAGTTGCACAGTTTGTATGAATCTTATTCGGATTTGAGCAAAGTTTAGTACATGAAAATGGCCGTATATTGTTTATTTGTTTGCTGTATGGTAGATGCATTTTTTACATCAGAATTTGTAGTTTCATCCATTTATTTTTCATTTAATTGTCAGCAGATGATGAGCCTGAGTTGGGGCTTCCTGGTATGGTTCCCATGGGAGGTCGGGGTCTATCTACTATGACCAGACCAACCACATGATCTCTACACATTTTCACGCCCCAACTTTCTCAAGGTGTGTAACATTGTTATCAATTGAATCATTCCATATCCAGTGTTATACAATGCTTTTGTGAAACCTGCAGACTTTTTTTTTCTTCTGATTATAACTGGCCCCATACACAGGTATCAAGTATCAACCTAGCTCCTGAAGAGGGGATCTGCATTGCCATGTGGAGACTAGACTGATGGCAGTCGTTTGCTAGCGGGTAATGTCCACCCACTGGTTTGATTGGATCAGGCCGATAGTTATTCAATGCACATTGCAACAGAAAGCGTTGGTTGTTGCATTTTGTCCGAGAAACATTGAGTTGATTGTTGGCAAGGTCTTGAAAGGTTTACTTGGCAGGCCATGCCCACATGTATAGCGGTGAACGATTTGATTCTTGCAGGTTCCTCGGTTGTTGTAACTTGTAACTAGGATTCTTCAGGTCATTGCAGAAGATATAGGATGACAGTAGAGAATCAATCACTCCCAAGACACTGTGCAACGGCTAAGTAGCACAGGTCATTGTAACACAATAACGGTGAAATAATAAATAGCATAGGCTCGTGTAAGTTTTTACTACTGTTATTTCTTCTCACAGTTGTAATACTTGAGGTATTTATAATGAGAAAGATACAGAGTTTTGGTTATAGCTACTCTGGTTCCACTATTTTGGGAGCCTTGGCTGAATTATGTTTTGAGCCTGAGCTGTCAAATTGAATGCTCGCGGCCACGGGAGCCCCTCAGGGGCATCCGATAAAATATCAGGGAAAAGATCAAGTTGATTATTCGCTGATGGAGTTTCGTCCAAAAGCTCGGGTTGACGGGGAGAGACGACACTGCTGGTTTGCTGAAGTGGTAGGTTGTCATTCACGTAGTTGATCCTGTTGGCCACATGAACGCTACCTGATGCCGCCGCAGTCCACGGTCCGCGTGGTCCATGCGGGGACGGAAGCCGTACCCGTACGCCTGCCTCTCGTCCACTCACCGCGGGTCAAATGCGTCAGCCAGGGCTTCCAGAAACAACGCCCGCCGTGCAAGCATCATGTGTGTGTGCCACGACCAAGTCTGAAGTCCCCTTCTCGCCAGCACGAGCAAGGGCAATGGACATGAAAGAGAAACCCAGTCGGGGAACGAGCAATTTGCAACTCGCTCGTTCAAACTTCTCCCGTGTCCAGTTTTTTCAAAAAGAATGCATGCATGTAGCTAGCATGTTGAGAAGACCAGGAGCTGTTGCCACTGGCACTGCGACTTTGTGATCGCGGAGGGAGGCCTTTTTTACAGCTCAGACTTCCAGTTGGGGCGTCGGTGAGATGCTCGTGCCCGTTCAGCCTAGCGCCGATTCTCTCAGCGGAAGTCGTACAATCTGGTCGGCACTCGGCAACCGACGGCACAGACCAAAATTAAGTCAAACAAAAGGATATTACATTCAAAAAGAAAAGGTGAAGCAAATATTACGAACGAAAAGAAAAGGATATTACGAACGAAAAAAACTGTGTCAAGAGTGGGATTTGAACCCACGCCCTTTCGGACCAGTACCTGAAACTGGCGCCTTAGACCAACTCGGCCATCTTGACTTGGTGATATAGCTGCGTATAAAGCTTATTTGTTAGTGTAGCAGCCTGTGCGCTCCACCAACGATGCGCATATCCACCTGCCGTTTGGCTGACCAGACCAGTACCTTCTCCGTCAGTTGAAGTCCACAAGATGATTTCGACATAGCTAATCCGTACCCACCACTAATTCTGCCACGAGAGATGCTCGATGCTTCAACTATTTCCATTTTCTAAAGTCTCCTCCCCTAAATACAAAATAATCTTAGGCATCACGACACAACGGGGACAAAAAGAAGACATGCGCGATAGTCAACCGAATATTATCACATGATCTCAAGCCGACGCCTTTGACCACTAGCCCAACACAATCAACAAAAGTAGAAGTATGAACAAATCATATATGGGACCACATTTCAATTCCCTTTGTTACCAAATACTAGTACATGTACAATGGCAAATCAACCAAACGACATCCCTATCTACCTTTTTTGAATTTTCCTCACCAACACCACTGTTCCAAAAAATGGTTAATGCGAAAACAATAGTACAGAAAAAATTAATCCTATCACAAAATCTTATGATTTCCTTCCATTTTATCACTCGGCGTCGCCTGCCTTTTTTTCTTATGAGCATTGCGTCACTCCGCATCTTCTTGGATGGTGCTGAGCGGCTTGAGGGCCTTCCTCGCCGGCGGAAACGCAGCCACGGCAGCCTTCTTGCCGATCCACGCCGGACCACCCGAAGCCGTCGCAGAGTACTCCCCAAGGGTCCTCTCGTTCAGCTTCGCGTTGACCTGTGCGTCCACGTCGCCACGCCTGCCCTCGGCGTGCACCGGCGTGACGCGCACCTTCCTGATGCCGGCGCCGCGCCCACGCGGCCGCGCTCTAGTCGCCAGCGCCTCGCTAGCCCGCACCGCCATGGCCGCCATGGCCGCCATGTCGGCGCTCGAGAGGGGCCGCCCGAGCATCGCCTGGGGGAGCACGAAGTATATCTGGTCGGGACGGAGCAGCTCGCCGCCGCCGAGCGCCGGCACGTCCTCGTCGAAGTAGAGCGCGTCGGAGCTGCACAGGAAGAACGAGTCGCCCGCATTGCCTGCGCGGAGGACGTCGGAGACGCTGACAGGCGAGGAGGCGGCGAACTCCGTCAGCGAGCCGTCGGCGGCGATGACGCGGGCCGACGACGGCTGCTGCTGGGGCGCGACGCTGCTCCGGTGGTTGTGAGAGAGACCTGATCCCATCCACGGTTTTCTGAATACAGGTTGAATGGTTTTGGTGTTTGGTGAGGACGGGACGCGGAAAGAAGCTGTATATATAGCCACGACGCGCCCAACGTGCAGGACAGTAGGAGTCCAGGGACAAGGGTTTAATTGGAAACGAATTGTTGTCATGTCTTTTACACGCCGCTCCCTTGCTTTTGGTGTTATTGTGAGCTTGTCGCCCTTCTCGATTCTCAGTTTCTCATGGTGGGCACTCCTTTCTTTATTTATTGCCAAAGCAATCTTGTTTTCTGCCACTTAAATGTTGCAAATAGTGCCTGAGTATAACTGTATAAGGATACATGTACTCTAATATTTCCCATCTATATAGGAGAGTTAGACGCATCCTAGTTTGTTCTTCGAAATCCGGCAAATAAGATTTTCACTTAGAGAGCCAATGGTGTGATCGCGACAAACTTTTCATATAAAAATATTCCCTCTGTTATATTGGTGTAAAAAGGTTAGCCAAGGAAAAATTCCATGGTATTGTTGGTCGAAAAACAAAATAAACACTATATAGAAGTTACTACTCGCATTTTTTTGTCCTTGAGATCCCCCCCTCCCCACCCCCAAAGCCAACAGGAATTCTTTTCCTCGCAAAACATTTTAGGTATAACAAAAGGTCAAGTTTATTTCAGATTGTTTTTAGAAATTTTGACTTTTTTCAAATTACTATTTTTTCTTTCATACCAAGTGTATATGCACCTAGGAACCGGAGAATATTTCATCGCAGAAACCGGCCAATAAACTAGTCGCAAAGATAAAGAAAACACATGCATTCCAATTTCCAATTAACGAAAGATGAAGCCAATCAAAAAATTCTACTGGATCCGCTTCTGGTGTAAATGATAGTCCACTTCTATTCCTCAATTATAAGCATTATGTATTATCATAGGATTTGCTAGATGGCATCGGGATGTGGGATCAACACAATGCCTCTTTCTTTCACGTAGTAATACGTGTCTCATTAATAATATAAAAATTCAGTTACAAGCCACGTAAATATCGATATTACAGGACTGAAAAGATATGATAATCCTATGCAAAAGACCAACGCCTGACCCTCTCCACTATGAAAAAGGAGATAGATCATCTCTTCACCCGAGCTCGACGCGGCTCCATCGCTGATCAGCAGCTTTACGGATCTCTAAAGTAGTTTGCCTGAAGTAAAACCATTGTCGTTGAAAGAATCAGACCGAGGGAACGTGTTCTCGGACATGCCATCGAACTCCAAAACTGACACCCCCACATGACTACGCGTCGGAGAAGGAAATCAGAACTGTCAGCCTTCAACCACAAACCCAGCACAAGATGCACCATCTTTTAGCTGTCACTTCCGTAGACAAGCGTCTGCGCGTACTCCTGGACGACAAAACCTCCCTGCTCCACCATGACGTCGGAGACAACGCCGCAGCAACGGGGACGGAGCAGAAGGAGAGACACACCTGATGGAGTCGCCGTCGCCGCCTCGCCGACACCATCCATGAACCCTAACATCGCCGATCTGAAGGATCGACAAATACATGATGCCAGCAACTCTGAAACGCCGCCATGAAGGACACCGCCGGTGTGAAAGTGAAGTTGAGGCAAATTTATTCATCCGGATGCCGCTCCCACTACTCCAACGACGCACCACGACCTACAAATCTAAATCCTAACTACGGAGCGAATGAACGGGTCCTCCCTCCCTCCTGCCGCCAGAGCAGCAACCGGAGAGAGGGGAGGCCAGCGCCCTCGCCGTGGGAGATCGGTAGAAAAAGATCGCCTCCCCGTGGCGGCGGCTAGGGTAGATCAACACAATGCCTCGTTGTAGGCTTGTAGCTGTCTCCACCCTGCAGCAAACAAGATACGTAGAAATGTACAAAACACCGACTCATCCCATGAAGCTCTACCATTAGTTTATTTTTTTCGGCAAAACCTCTACCATTAGTTAATGTGTACGAAAGTCAGCCTAGCCAGCACATATATTTTATTTTTCCAAGTCAACCTTGTGAATTTTACTATAGTTTATCTCATTCGTAGCCAAACTACAAATTTGATAGCCTCTCCCCCAAGAAAGAAAGCCACCTGGTTCATCTTGTAAAATAGCACCTCCGAAGGGACCGGGTTGCAAAGTCTCCACGGACGAAGCACGAGCAAAAACGGCCGGCTGGGGTGCTGGGGTTGGGGCGTGGGCGCTGACGCGGCGGCGAACCGAACGCATCGCCGCACCTTGTTTTCTTGCGGATATGTACGCACTGTCATACATACGGCTACTCCTACGTATACTGGGTATAAAATATTTTTTCGGAAACTATTTTTTCCCTCTTAAATTGCCGTGCGTTTCGCTCGGTCCGCGTGTGAGTGACTCACGCACGGAACCGCACGCCGCTGCTGCCGCAGTGCCTGCCGCTTTGCGCTGTTGCGGACGGGGTGCGGCGCGCTGTGCGCCCCGCGCCGCGGCACTGCCGGTCCGGTCGGCCGCCACAGCTGGTGCGCGCTCCACTAGCGCGTATCGTATTCGTGTCAGCCTACGGCCTACGCGACGCGACCGGTTTTCCTTTCACTTTCTGGCCGGCTTCTCCTGTTTCGGGACGAAGGAATGCCATGCGGTGCGGTGCCGGTGCGGTGGTGCTTCTTCTGCGCCGCATTTGTCAACTTGTGCCATGATCAGAAGAGGGGATATGCGGTGCGGCGTTGTAGCTCGCTAGTACTCCTAGTAGCTATGGCCGGGCTGGAGGTCACTGCCTGTAAACCGTGTGCCGCGCAAAACATAAGCTGAGAGAGAAGCGGAAAGCACTGCACGTTTGGTTTCGTTTATATCTCCTCCGCCTCCGGGTGGGTTTTCTTCTTCGTGCGCAAGCTACCTGTGCAGGGCAGCAGGGGTCATTGCAGTACAGTGTGTATCTTACGTATTTGTTTTTAATGATTTAGAGCAACTCCAATGGGGTGACCTAAACAGACGACGATTTCATCCGTTTTTTGTCTGTTTGGTCGGTCGCCCGCCCGGTGTCCGTCCTGTTTTAGATGTGGATCGGTAACGCGCCCAACGCGCCGACCCATATGTACCGGCATGGCCGGTCTATTTTGCATTGATGAAATTACATTTAAACATAGAGCTCTTTTAGGTGGTTGTAGAGTTACGACTTGTAATTTCATGTAACTCCCCTCTAGAATATTTTAAACCGTCGGATTTATAACAATAATTTATAACGAGTGTTTTGTAGAGAAACCCTTGACTATTTTGATAATCAACCCGCAGTATATGCGTAATAAACGTTTCGCTCTCCCGTTTCGTATGTCACGCTTCGCCGGCTGCAGGAGTTGTTTCGTCCCGATTCCCCTCCTCCTGACCCATGAACCCTAGCTGCTGCACCAACGCAAGCCCGCCGCCGCTTCAACGTCGCCCCGCAGCCGACCGACACGTCGCTTCCTTGTGCCCTCGCACCGGTCCTGCTCCACCCTCTCGCATCCCTCCGCTCTAGGCCCGTCTTGCGCCGCCAGAAGCAACTCCCGGTCTCCAGCCGTTGACCTCGCCTCGCTCCTCTCCGGTCGTCGTTGCTGTCAAGGAAGTATCCGGCGGAACGCAGCGAACCCCGACCTCCTCCACAACAGCCGACGCCCCTCCCTCTAGCGAGTTCACCCTGTCGTCGCCTGCTGCAGAAGCGGGACGAGCCTCCCAAACGCAGCGAGCTCCTTGCGTACGGTCAGATTGCTGCCTCCTTCTCTGGCCCACCCATCCCTAGCTCAAGAACTTATATGTCAGTTAATATATGATACCCCTGTGGCAGTTTGCATTTTATACTGTGCTTCGTATTGCAGCTACAAGCATGCAGAGGATTATCAAGAACGAGTTATAGCTGCTTATGAAAGCTGCGGACATGATTCGTCACATTGCATTAGAATTAGAAGTTTACTTTGCTATGTTCTTTGGTGCAGCACAATTGGGTGCAGTTTGTTTCTTATGTGGAATTCGCTGGATCAAACTTCATATTCTACGTTGCTCTATCTTTTGCTGCACCTCAGATGCCCTTTATGCTTTCAGTATGATCTTGTGTGCAGTTAGGTGGTTCAAAGATTGAACTTCAGTATCCATGCGATATGTACGGATGTGAATACATGACCGTACGAGCTTTGATCTGTTTTGTTACGTCCAGCGGCTCGACGCAGAAGGGCGCCTCTTCACCGATGATTGTTGGCGGCTGTAGCGAAGTGCTGTTTCCTGGCGCCGAAGTCCAGAGCTAGCGTCTTCAGAGAGAGTGGCCGCCGTCTCGGTTGTGTCTTCCAAGCTGAACATCCTCAGATTTTCTCCATGTTGTAGTCCTGAAAACTAGTCAAAAGGAGTTGGGTCTGTGGCATTCGTTGAATATTTCGCTAATGCTTTGCAGTTGAGAATGTTTCGATGGTGTCTTCATGGCCTCAGAAATTTTGATTATTTTTATTTAACCAAGTTAAGTTAAAAATAGGTACCCATTGTTTATATGAAAAAAGGTTGGGCCTGGGACTCGAACGCAGGACCTTTGGTGATTGCTCTAGCGCTCAACTATGTGCGCGGAGCACAAGCAAAAATTACACCCAAGATAAATAGATGGCGGGCGTTCCTAGCAGGCCAACTAATCCTATACGTTGATGCTTCATAGTAGTTCATCACATATTTCAAATACTACATGATCAAACACTAATTCATTACAAACACTAATTCATGTTACATACTACATTCACTACTAGTACTA